GGAGCAAGTAGTTAAATATTTTAGAACCATGGTGATGTCGCTCCATAGTTCATTATTTTAGAACCATAGCAGTAAATAGTTAACTATTTTCTGTTTTCGAACCATTACTAGTAAATAGTTAATTGTTAACTATTTTCGAACCATATGCAGCAAGTAGTTAACTATTTTAGAACCATAGTGATTATAGTGATGGTGCTTCATATTTCACTATTTTGAACCATAGCCAGCAAATTAAATAGGTAACTTTTTTTGAACCATAGGCACCTAAGTAGTTAACTATTTTTGAACCATAAATACTTATTATGATTTTTGATTATAGTCAATTATGTCGATCTCCATCGAATACCATCTTAATTTATGATTGGTGATCTATGGCAACGAGTTAAGGACAACATAATTGCAAAATTGAAGAAAGAAGAGGAGGAGGAGAAGACATTGGCGGCGGTGAGTGTATTATTAGGTTAGAGTAACAAATATTTGGTTTGGGTAATTTAATTTCTTTTTATAAATTTCTTTTTTACTAAAAAGCTGTAAAATAAAAGGGTAAAATAGAGATTTTATGTGTTCTAAATCCTCTATATATTAATAGAAGAGACACTAAGTGAAAATCCTAATTGTCATCCAAAGAGGGTTTTAAGAAACTTTTAAGCAAAGTTATTAAAATTTCTTAATAACATTATTGTGTAAATAATTAGACTAAATTATATCACATATACAATATATAACTATTCAACAAATATGGAAGATTTTATTCAATAAATATAAAGTATATGTAAGAATATCTTTTTTTTTCAATGATTATTAGATTTTTTTGACATGCGTTAAATACGGGATTATAATATTCAAAAAAAAATTCATGATTTTTTTATATATAGGAGAGATTAAAAATAACAAAGATATATCTCCAGTATAGATAAATATATTGACAAATATATTTTATCTTACAAAATTTAATTTGCATGATAATTATACTAAATGCAGATAATTTTTTAGAAATGCTACTTTTTAAAAATGTCATCATTTTGAAATTTTTTTTAAAATGCCACTAATCCTCTATATATTAATTGAATAGATATTTGGTAAAAAAATCATATGTATTATTCAATAAGAATTTTATAGAATATGTCATTTAAATTAACTAATAAAAATATTTTAATTAAATCTATATACTATGGTGGAAATCTCTATATATTTTTATTAATTTTATAACATAAACCCATTATTATATATTTTTGTTTGTTACTCTACTCTTTACACAAATAATAAAACTCAATTTGACACTTCAAATAAATTGAAATAAATAACATTTGCATTAGTTTTAATATTTTATGCAAAATTGATCAAAGCATATAAGTCATATAACATTGAAATATATTTAATAAAAAATTAATTTTATTACATTTATGCACAATACATATCATTTTGTACGTTTATAAATATTAGAATACATGTCTAAATATTAAGATCGATTATAAAATATATTTCAATATTTAATCTCACGTTTGGTGTGGGTCAAAATCTAGTGCTACTTATTTAATTGTTTTCTATGGAATGTTAGAGACTTAATTATGGATAGATAA